CCCATCTACCCTGACCTTTTATTTCCTCCTCTTGTTTCTCCAACACTGCTGTCCTGCACTGGCCTATGATCTAGCCTATTCTTCCAGCTCCTCTGACCTCCCACTTCTGACATCTTGGGAGGCACAAAGCAGGGTGGGGCCACACCCCTCGGCACAGGGCCTGTGGCCCTTTAATGCTGTCAGCCTAAGCCCTGTCCTTCTATCTCCTGGCCAGGAAGGCACCTCCCTCCTGAAACAGCCCTTGATCTGTTGTTTCCCTTGCGTCTGACCTCCAGCCTCCCAAGCTTCCCTAGAACTACCTGATCTCTGGGCCTCTCCATGTCCGAAGTCAGCCCAATCCTCTGGCCACTGTCCTCCTAATGGATCCAAATCCTTCCCTCAGTTTACCCAGTCTCTAAAATTGCAGTTGGCTAGACCTTGGGGTTGGGGCCCTAGACCCCACCTCTGAGAGCCCAGGGTGCCTAGCCCAGAGGTCAAGATTCTCCCTGCCACACGTGACTAAGCCCCTTTCCAAATCAGGCTCAACAGTTGAGCAGATATTCTTCACAGGGAACAGCGCAGGCAGCAACCTCTGCTTCACCGTGTCCCTTCAGGCAGCAGCCTATGGAGTGGGGATGCCAGGTGGCATCATGGGAGCCTACCTGGCCACAATGCTGCAGTCCACAGCCTCTCCCATCAGCCTTCTGAGCCTCATGGACCCCCTGCTGCCCCTCAGCGTGCTCTCAAAGTGTGTCAGCGCCTATGCTGGTAAGGCCACACCCAGAGCTGGGGGCCTGGTGGTGCTTGGATGCCTGGATCCTGCAGGGACAGGGGCTACAGGCCAGTCTCCTGGATCTGAGGGAGGAGGGGCTGAGAAAAGGAATCTGAGATCCTACTGAAGCGATTAGATATTGTTGGGTCCTTGGGGTCACAGATGCCTGAAGTTCTAGATGTTGAGAAGAGGCCTAGAAAGAAAAGAGACCAACTCAGCCCCACATAACTCCACAGATAGGGAGACAGAGGACCACTCTGACTCAGACCAGAAGGCGCTGGTCATGATGGGGCTGGTGCAGTGGGACACAGCTCTGCTCTTCTGAGACCTGCACCTGAGCACCTCCTCATAGCTCAACTCCTTCCTGAAGCCAAGTAGACACAATTCCTACACCAACTTGGGACCCGTGACAGGTGAGTGGAGACCTCACTTCACACACCCATCCAAGGTGGCCATGAGGGACAGCCTGGCACACCAAAAGTCCTAGGGGAGGATAGAGGCCATGGCCTGGGCATAGAGGGAAGCAGAGATCACCTTCCAGGTTCTGCCCTGTATGCATCCCTGGTCCCTACCACAAAGCCTTGATTTCCAAATCTGGAAACTCTCAGACTTCTGGTCCCCCAGGTCATCTCGGAGCCCCAGGACCTGTAGGATTTAGCTTTCCAAACAGCCTCTCCCAGAAAGGCACCCTGGAAAATGACTCAGAAGACCTACCACGTGTCATGATTTTCAGTCCCAAAAGTGACGCTGAAATCCGTTGGGCCCTCAGGTGGGAATCCAGCCCTCCTAGATTCTTTCTAGACTTTTAACTGAGGTCTGTGGGGGTAATACCCCCCTCCAGGGGCTGGCCTAGGAACCTGGGGTGGGGAAATCAGCAGACTGGACAGCCCTCAAGAAGTGGAGGAGATTCCCAGTCTTGGGTGGGTGGCAGGACCCTCAGGCAACCGAAAATCACTTCCATTCAGGGATCCATTTTGTTCCCACCATTTTTTAACATTTTAAAGATTTTAAAGCACAACTAACACATGAAAGTTATTCCAATTGGATATGTTTTATTTTAAATTGTTTTTAATTTTACAGTATTTAAATGGATGCAAACAAATATACACAAAAACAATTAAAAGTGATTTGAATTTTAGGCACGGGACGATTAAGCAGTGGGGTTTTCCTTGTAGGATAAGGTGACAAGTGAGCCCCTAGAGGCACATATGTCACTCTAGCTCCTTATGGTACCAGGTACTCACTGGGTGCTGGGTGACATGGGCAAGTAACAGTATCTGTGAGCCTTGCTTTGCTCCTCTGTGAAATAGGTACACTAAGAGTACCTGCCTCATAAGGTTGTTGTAAGGACTGCATGCATCTTTGTGTCAAGCACCCAGCACAATACCTGGCACACAGTAGGTGCTCTTAGAAGATTCTGGCACCCCTGGCAGGCTGTACCCTGTGATTCTAGTCAACAATTCTGTTCCAGTGACCCTCTGGGTCATGGTGCACTTATGCAGTTCTTCTCATATAACCTTGCATTTTGCCTCCATGGATTTATAAAGACACCGAGATTTGGAGGTGCTTTCCCAGGAGGCAGCCCTGATCCCATCACCTGGCCCTTCTCTCCAACACCAGGAGGGTCACATGAGACAGAGGGTTTGGTCAGCTCAGCACCTAACAGTGTCCAGACCCCAGTGCCAGAGAGGCAGTGCTGAGGCCTCAGGCAGTGCCAGGATGGGAGGCAGAGGTTTGACAGGAACTGGCAATGAGAGCAGGAGGCAGATCCAGGGAGCAGGCCACCACAATTAATCCCTGATGAGACATGGAGACATCGGATCCCTTCCTTGTGCCCAAGTGGGGACTCTGAACAGTAGCCTGCACTCCAGCGACAATGTCTGTAAGGAGCAGACCTAAGCCAGGCCAGGTATCCAGCCATCCCTGTCTGCACCCAGTAACAGATGCTTAATAAACATGTCAAATAAATTTCTCAAATGGATGAGGAAACCACACAATGGAAGCCCTTCACTCCTGTATGACACCTGGAGGTCAGAGCACATTCCATGTAGACACAGGGGTATTGGCATCAGCATGGGAGGCCTGTGGCTATCCCAGGGAGAGGCCTTTACCCCTTGTTGAGTCAGGAGGGAGGACAGGGGCCTCCTAACAGTGAGGGGTTGGATCCCCATTCATCCAGAAAATCCCACCCCCTCCCCATGTCTACCTTGTGAGGGACTTCTCTCCCTGGACGGCCTGGGCTGATAGCCTGTGTTCTTCCTCTTCTCACAGAGACCTGACCTGACACAAACTCTGGATTCTCCACCCCAGGTAAAGTTACCCTAAGGGGAGGAGGGAGCCCCACTCTGACCTCAGAGTAATCAGGGGGTGACTTCTCACCTCCAGGGTCTCAAGTCTGTGGGGACACTAGTTGTAGTCCCCTGAAGACATCTCACCAGCCCAAGGCAGCAGAGTGAACAAGGGAAACTTCCCATGCAGGATGGGATAGGAGAACCAGGACCTGTGTTTGCTTCCATGTCAAAGGGGCTGAGGGTCCCATGGAGCCTCCCCTCTCCTAACAGAGGAACCCACAGGATCCCCTGTCTGAGTCTTCATGTGGAACTGATCTAGGTCCTGGGCCCTGTGGAGAGGCCTAGAGGAGATGACAGACAGGGACACAGATGACTCGGATGCCATGCCCCAGTGCTGTGATTGGGGAAACACAGGTCATTCTGGGGACCAGCCCTTCACTCTCTCTTGAAAGCCTCAAGAGACCCCTCACCCTTCCTTTGAAACCACCAGAACAGAGAGCTTCTCCAGAGGCAGCACATCAACCAGGCAGCACAGGACACTGGATTAGGAGTCCACTGGACAATGCCTGTCCTTTCCCTGGGCTCACCCTACACTGGGATGGAGTTGGGCAGCCTCGCAACCAGCAGTGACCAGGACCTAGGCTTAGAGGACCTTCAGCCTGGAGATCAGAAATCATGTCTGTCCAGGCCCCAGTGCCAGTGCACACCTTCTAGAGCCTGGTCAGCATCCTTGGTGCAGCCCCTGACACTGGCAGCATTCCCTTTGGGGGGCGAAATTGGGACACACAGAAAATTAACTCATGAACCTGACTTTGGCTAAGGAGGTGAAGAAGGAGCCTGACTTCTATCCCTTGCTCAAGAAGACCCTTCTGGGTCCTTCCTATCCATTCCTTCTAAGGGCCTCAGAGCACCCTGATCTGTCAGGGGTCTGTGTGCATCTCCCCACTCCCTGCCTGGTACCACCCATGGGGAAGGCAGAATGACCAAGGAAAGTCAGCCAGTCAGAGGACAGGGGCCCCCAGGATGATCAGGGAGCAAATAGACAGGCTCTGAGCCACACCTCAACCAACATGCTTGGGTGGGGGGGGTCTCCCTGAAACTTTCCCCCAAGGATCAGGGAGCCCACAGCCACCTGATCTCCCACCACCACTGCCCTCTCACCCAGGACACATGGGAAACCTCTACCTTCACACCCGAGAATTGCAGCTCCTGTGACACCCTATATTGAGTGTCTATCCCTGAAAGCAGAGGCCAGGCTGGAGACACTGGAGATGGAGGGTGGGTACCCTCACTGGTCATCACTCAGCTTGCCCCTTTCTCATGCCCAGAGTCATCTCTGCGATCTTCCTGCCGGGAGTAAATCCAGCATTCCCAGAGCATTTGAGGACACTGGGAACATCCTGGTGCCCAGCTGGATTTCTGTGTCCCAAGAGAAAATAATCCCCTGAGTTTGGGACTCCTGGTTCTCTATGTGGTACTGACAGAACCCAAGGCCAGGACACAGGATACAATAGAGGTCAATGCTGGGATGGGTGGGTCATCCTCTCAGGGGACAGGGCTCCCCATTAGCCTTCGTATTGAAAATATATTCCACAGGCCAGTGTGATCAGCATCACCTGAGAGCTTGTTAGATGCAGACTTTCAGGTCCACCCCACACTTGCCAAGTCAGAATTTGCGTCTTAACAGGATCTGCAGAAATCTAGCCACCCTGGGTCTATACTCCAGCACAGTAGAACTCTGGAAGGACTGGATGGGCCACATTCCCATGGGCTCACACTTCAAAATGGTAAATTTTAGGTATGTGAATTTTTTCTCAAGACAAAAAATTTAGGAGAGGAACCTACACATTACCTTGTATAAAACTGGCACCAAAACTGCCACTGCAAGTGTATGTGAATGTCCATTTCTTCACACTCACAGCACTCCCATATTAATTATGCGGGAGCAGAAGCAGGTGTCACCCAGTTATCCGTCTTTCTTTCTTTTATTCAGTCTCTGAACATGTATAGCCATTTTCCTGTTTGAGGCCCTTGTGGAGGAGCAATGGGGCCATTGAGAACCACATCAAAAGTTTGGAATTCCTTTCCCCCAATCCAGACTCTGCAGACATTCCCTGCAGAGAGAAGGACCAGTCTGATGGGAGTAACTCAGCAGAGGGAGATGAGTTTCAGTCCAGCCCCCTGGGCCCCTCCATGGGACCATGACCCTGAGAAAGATCCTTCAGTGCTCAGTCGAGGCCTGGCCTAAGGGGCCCCCTGGGATCCTCAAAGAGAAGCTCAGCCTGGGAAGCCTCTGCCCAGACCCCGGTCCCAGGGATCCTGACTCCAGTAACGCTGGGGAGTCCGTGCCAGAAGTGGATTTTGGCCTCCTGGATGGAGCTGTCTTGGAGCAACAGTTTCCCAGCTGCCCGAGTCCCCAGGCTCCTGAGCTGGTCACCAGCCAGGGCTCAGTCCTAAGTTCCACATCTGGGCAGGGGCAGAGCCTGATCCTTCAACCGAGACTCAGGATGGAGAACACAGATGGACAAGGTCGCCAGGCCATTAGCTGACTGCCCTGGAGGACGTAGGGCACTCAAGAGTAAGGTCAGTGCCCCTAGCAGAGGAAGAGGAGAGAAGATGCTACTGGCAGCTCCTCATCCACCAGGGATCAGGCCTAGGGGCATTGTCTCTTGGAATCAAACAGTAACAGATGCCATTTATTCAGGCAGCTCTGCTCCACCAAGATTTAGGTCAGCTACTATGAATATTTTAAGGTTAATTCACTGACAATCTGGCAGCCAAATATTTATTCTACTTCATTGAGGGGAAACTGAGGCACAGGGAGATAGTCACTGAATCAGAGTCACACAGACCATGAGTGACAGATCAGAGTCCTGCAACTTCTGTTGCAGCCACAGCCCCATACTCTCCTCCATACAGGGGCCTTATCAGCATCTATGGATCCCACGACCAGCTCTGAGATAGATCCTTTCTTGCTAGGCATCCCCAGCTCAGAGAGAGAGATTGTGGTCTGTGGAGTGAGAGAAATTAGAGAATTCATCTGGATTTACTCTAGAACTAAACTACCTGCATGAGCAATCAGAGTCAGCACAGGGAATGTCCAGGCTATCCCCTAGGTCCACACCTCCCTACACTGGACTTGATATCATTTATTTGTTTCCTGATGTATTTTTCTCACTCCCACTGGAGTATAAAGGAAAGGACTTTGCTTTCTTACTTCCCACTCTACACCTGCATCCAGCACAGGGCCCACATGTAATAAAATCCCAATTGACTTTGATGGAGGGAAGGAGTGAATGGTGAAAGAATAACAAATGACTTATAGTCTTTTCAGAGACTGGAATCTGGGTGCAGAGTCCTAGGAAGTTCTGGACACACCTGTCCCCTGTCTCTTAGTGGTTGAGACCCATGTTCCATTCTCTGACCACCAACCCTTAAGGCCACTCTGAGAAGACACTCTCATGATGACTGTGAGGCTGCTCAGCCACGGGAGGGTTTTCAAAGCTGTTCTAGTCCCCTGGGGCAGCCATAGACTCTTGGGCTCTTAGGTCTTTGAAGTCGCTTGTAACCCCCACTGCTTATGGCCTTGGATATTTCTTCCTCTCACTGCCCCTTCCATGTCCCTCATCTTCCTCCCACTTCATTCCAGCTGGAACTTCCTCTGCTCTGCACAGCTCCCTCCACCCTCAAGCCTTCCCCAGATTCTCCTGCTGACACCTGTGGACGGGCCCACCCTCCTGGGCAATAGTAAAGGACACAGAAATCAGTGGGAGCAGCAGCCCCTTGAGCTCTACCATGAGCCAGTTCCCCAAGTCACCAGGAGAAAGAGCTTCTGCTCCTATCCAGGGCTCTTTTCCTCCATGATCAACAAATGGAATGTGCCATGTGTCAGGGATGTGTGACCCCTTGGTCTACTCTCTACATGACTCAACCAGGGAGTCAAAGGCAGAAGGACAGGTCTGCAGTCCCCAAAAGCTCACAGGCTACTTCACCCCTTTGACTCCTGACTCACATCCTCATCCTGGTGAGGCCGCTGTTCCTCCAGTGGTTCCTGAGACCTTCCCAAAGTGGGGCTGGCTAGACCCTGCACTGTCTGACTGGTTTACTGCCTATTTCACAAGCGTGGGTCCTCAAGATGACACCTTTACCACAGGGTGGGATGCTCACAGACGGTGAGATCCACCAGCCACCGTCCTTTCACTTAGATGCTGCTCAATTTGGACATATTTGATAAAACTCTAGTTGTCTTTCCTGAGGTCAAAGGAAAGACAAAAGCATGCCACTTGCCTGTGTGGGGGCTCCTCCTCATTTGCCTCCCGAACCATAGAAACTGGTGACAGGGACTCTCCCTCCTAAATTTACTGACATAACATATATCATTTCTACTAACTTGGTATAATTCTGCCCTTTAGATAAAAGAAACACCTCAGACTTAACCTCACCAATTCTGTCCTCTTACCAGGACTCACATGTCCCTCTCTACTCAGAGAGTCACCGATTTCAAGCCCATTTTAGCATTTTCCTTTGATCATAATGTGATTCTTTTTGTGTTTCAGAGCAAGCCTGTGGCCTTACAGTGTTCTCAAGAACCCAACTGTTATTCCAGCAAATTGGTCTTAGATCTTTAGGCCATTAGTAATAATTTTCACATACGGAAGAAATTTAATCTCTCCACAAATTTGTCTCATATCCTCAAACACAGATGGCCCATTAGAACCAATATTCAACAAATTCATGCCACCCACTTTCTTCCTGTCACCTTCTGCATTTGCAAGCATCCACATTTATTTCAGGGAAGATCAACATGGTCCTCACTGCCCTCAGCAAAGAGAAGGTGACATTAAAAGGCAAAGCACATGGTTCTGCTGCCAAACCCAGCCAGCTCCTGCCTGTCCCCCTCACTCTTTTCTAGATCATTCCTTGGACTCATGTTCTGACATTTATGGGATCACTGGCTCACGTCAGTGATTGTCACCTGGGCAGAACTGCCCCACCTCAAGGCCTGAGTACAGCCATACCTCGTTTTATTGCACTTCACTTTACTGCACTTTGCAGATATTGCAGTTTTTACAGATTGAAGATTTGTGGCAACACTGTGTCAAGGAAGTCTATCAGTACCATTTTTCCAACAGCATGTGCTCACTTCGTGTGTCTGTGTCACATTTAGGTTATTCTTGCAATATTTCAAACTTTTTCATTATTGTTTTATTTTTTTTGGTGATCTTGTGATCTTTGATGCTACTGTTGTAATTGTTTTGGGGCACCACTAACTGTGCCCATATAAGATGGTGAACATAACCCATAAATGTTGTGTGTTCTGACTGCTCCACGAACCACCTGTTCCCTTGTCTCTCTCCCTCTCCTTGGGACTCCCTAGACCCTCAGATACAACAGTGTTGAAATTAGGCCAATTAATAAACGTACAATGGCCTCAAAGTGTTCAAGTGAATAAAAAAGTCACACGTCTCTCACTTTAAATCAAAAGCTAGAAAAGATTAAGCTTAGTGAGGAAGGCACGGCAAAAGCCAAGACTGGCCAAAAGCTAGGACTCTTGTACCAACATTTAGCCAGTTTGTGAATACAAAGGAAAAGTTCTTGAAGGAAATTAAAAGCAGTCTTCCAGTAAAGACACAAATGATAAGAAAAAGAAACAGCTTTATTGCTGATATGGAGAAAGTTTTAGTGTCTGGATAGATCAAACTAGCCTTCTCATAAGCCAAAGCCTTCTCGTAATCCAGATAAAGGCCCTAACTCCTTTCAAATCTAAGGTGGCTGAGGGGTAAGGAAGCTGCAGAAGAAAGGTTTGAAGCTAGCAGAAGCTGGTTCATGAGATTTAAGGAGAGAAGCCATCTCCTTAACATAAAAGTGCAAGGTGAAGCTGCAAGTGGTGATGTAGAAACTGCAGCGAGTTATCAGAAGATCTAGCTGAGATAACTAATGAAGGTGGCCACAGCAAACAGCGTATTTTTAATGTAGATGAAACAGCCTTATATTGGAAGAAGATGCCATCTAGGACTTGATAGCTAGAGAGAAGTCAATGCCTGGCTTCAAAGCTTCAAAGGACAGGCTGACTCTTATTAGGGCCTAATGCAGCTGCTGACTTTAAGTTGAGATCAGTGCTCATTTGCCATTCCAAAAATCCTACAGCCCTCAAGAATTATGCTAAATCTACTTTCCCTGTGCACTATAAATGGGAGAACAAAGCCTGGATGACAGCACATCTGTTTACAACACGGTTTACTGAATATTTTCAGCGCATTGTTGAGATCTACTGCTTAGAAAAAAAGAATCCTTTCAAAATATTACTGCTCGTTGACAATGCACCTGGTCACTCAAGAGCTCTGATGATGTACAATAAGATTAATATCGTTTTTGTATCTATTAATATCCATTCTGAAGCCCATGGTCAAGGAGTAATTTTGACCTTCAAGTCTTATTATTTAAGAAATACATTTTGTGGGGCTGGCCTGGTGGCATAGTGGTTAAGTTTGCATGCTCCACTTCAGCCCTAGGGTTTGCAGATTCAGATCCTGGGTGCAGACCTATGCACCACTCATCACATGATGCTGTTTCAGCGTCCCACTCATAAAATAGAGGAAGATTGCCACAGATGTTACCTCAGTGACAGTCTTCCTCAAGGACCAATCTTCCTCACCAAAAAGAAGAAGAAGAGGAAGAAGTTTAGGAAGAAGAAGAGGAGGAAGAGGTGGAGGAGGAAGAGGAGAAGAACAAGAACAAGAACCAGAAATACATTTTGTGAGGCTATAGCTAACACAGATAGTGACTCCTCTTATGGATCTGGGAAAAGTAACTGAAAATCTTCTGCAAAGGATTCACCATTCTAGATGTCATTAAGAACATTCATGATTCATGGGAAAAGGTCAAAATATCAACATTAACAGGAGTTTGGAAGAAGCTGATTCCAACCCTCATGGATGATTTGAGGGGTTCAAGACTTCAGTGGAGTAATTAACTGCAGTTGTGATGGAAATAGCAAGAGAACTAGATTTAGAAGTGGAGCCTGAGGGGCCAGCCCCATGGCACAGTGGTTAAGTGCATACATTCCGCTTTGTCGGCCCGGGGTTTACCGGTTCGGATCCCGAGTGTGGACATGGCACCGCTTGGCAAGCCATGCTGTGGTAGGCGTCCCACATACAAAGTAGAGGAAGATGGGCATGGATGTTAGCTCAGGGCCAGTCTTCCTCAGCAAAAGGAGGAGGATTGGCAGTAGTTAGATCAGGGCTAATCTTCCTCAAAATAAAAAGGAGTGGAGCCTGAAGATGTGACTGAATTGCTGCAATCTCATGATAAAAGTTTAATACATGAGGGGTTGCTTTTTATGGATGAGCAAAGAAAGTGGTTTCTTGAGATGGAATCTACTCCTGGTGAAGATGCTGTGAAGGTTGTTGAAACGACAACAAAAAATTTGAATGTTACATAAATTTAGTTGATAAAGCAGCAGCAAGGTTTGAGAGGATTGACTCAATTTGAAAGAAGTTCTACTGTGGGTAAAATGGTATCAAACAGTATCACACGCTACAAAGAAATTGCCCATGAAAGGAAGAGTCAATTGATGGGGCAAACTTCATAGTTGTCTTATTTTAAGAAATTGCCTGGGCCAGCCTGGTGTGTAGTGATTAAGTTCGTGCACTCTGCTTCTGTGGCCTGGTGTTCACAGGTTTGGATCCCGGGTATGGACCTAGCACTGCTCGTCAGGCCACATTGTGGCAGCATCCCACGTAAAATAGAGGAAGATTGCCGCAGATGTTAGGGCCATTCTTCCTCACAAAAAGATAAGAAAGAAATTTCCACAGCCACCCTGACCTTCAGCAACCACCACCATGATCAATCAGCAGCCATCAGCACTGAAGCAAGCCCTTCTATCAGCAAAAAGATTGCAACATGATGAAGGCTCAGATAATAGTTAGCATTTTTAGCAATAAAATATTTTAAATTAAGGTATGTATGTTGTTTTTTTAGACATAATGCTATTGTACACTTAATAGACTACAGTATAGTATAAACATACTTTTACTTGTACTTGGAAACCAAAACATTTGTGGGACTTGCTTTATTGTGATATCTGCTTTATTGCAGTGGTCTGGAATGGAACCTACAATATCTCCAGGGGATGCATGTACTCACCTGACTGCCAGACTTGCTCCTGGTCCACCATGTGTTATTTGTGCTCAAATGCCCAGTCCCCTCCCCTCTGATTACAGCACATGTGGCTTTATTCTGTTTGCTCCAGATGGCCTGGATGCCCCGCCATTTCTCCCTCAGACTCTTATTACCATCCAGGGGCAAACTTCAGCTTCTCCTGCCACACAACCTCTAACCTGCCCACACAGTATTCTTGACTTATCAATCAGAGGCCTCAGCAATCCATACAGGAGCCCTTTATCCTCAACTATACTATGTAATAGCAGATCCTATATTCTGTCACCACCCAGGGTAGGACCACAGCCAAAAGACCACAGCCTCTGGCAAGCGGTCTCTGGAGCATAGGGACTGAGCCTGGGGTGAAGATCTCTCTGATTTTCTCAAAAGAGCCTGGAAGTAGTTATTTACCAGCCTGTATGCCAAAAGACAGTGCCCAAAAGTATACCATTTATAGGAGGACCAAGTGTACAGCCTTTTGTTAGACCATAACCACTTCTCTCTCAAAATTTCCTTCACCATGATATTAAATCCATGGGCCAGGAATAAAAGATTTCTTCAGAGTAAGAAATCATTTAAATTGGAAACTCTCTAAGGCCATGAAGACTAACTAGGCCATCCTGATTCCCTAATACACTACTTAACAAAAAGTAAATACCTTCTCTACTTATGTAAAGCTGTCCTGGCCCCACAGGTGGACAGGGCTTGCAGGCTTAATTTCCCCCAAACACATGGAAGTGTATATAATGAGCAGGGCTTGATCCTTTATAATGGCACAGGAAGTTCTAGGAAAAGGCCATATAAAAATCTATGGGAGAAAAATTCTACCTGATGATGAGGTTGTTGGACATGTATACTGAGAAGAGGTTCCTGGTGCTGACAATGCAGAGATGTCCAGGGGGACCAGTCAGGGGTCATCCTGGGGTGATCTGGAAATCAGAGAGGATGTGCCGTTCTCTTTACAGATAGTCACTTGAACAAAGATACACAACATTGTGCAGGGGTCCAGGTCATGCTCTGGGTGACCTTTATAGTACTCACAGTGGACCTTGACCTGGATGAGATCTCTGAGGAAGGAGCACGGCCCCAGGACCCCCACTCCCAGTTAGTCACCTCCTCTGTTTTTCCAGGCTCAGTGGCACAGCCCTTCATCTGAGCCAGCAACACCACAGTCATAGAATATAAGGATGCCATGGTCCTTCCCTGTCTTACAAATGGCACTGGAATCTCCATCTAGTAGTTCCTCAATGACCAGAGTCTGTGACTCATGGAGAGGATGAAGCAGTCCTGGGACCACAGCACCCTCACCACAGACCCTGTCAGGAGAGAGGATACCAGGGATTATCAGTGTGTGGTCTCCAACTGGGTCAGTCCCAGCAAAAATGATCATGTCTGACTAGCTGAGAACTATCGGTCCACATCCTATTCCATGGCTTATTAAACTCTAAATCAAATTTTTCTTACATTTTAAGCAATGGTTATGATGCACTTACTCTACAGAATATGTGAATTCTTAATTAAATGAAGGTAGAAAGTCCATAGAGGACTTTATTGAGTCAGTATGTGCTCAAAAATGTGAACTGACATTGTCAGTATTGTTGGCTTAAGGTCATATTCAACTTCAGACCCCATCGCTTGTCAGTCCCAGAGGCATCATCACCAAAGTGGGGATGACACAATGTTCCTCAGAAGATGCACAGTAGTTATGTGTGATGAGAGGTGGGAGCACTGAGCACCATACCCTGCACAAGATAAACTCTCAGGATGGAATATTCTATATGGGTCTGTTAGGTCTCATTGGTTTATATTGTTGTCCTCTATTTATAGTGTTAAAGTCCTCTATTTCCTTATTGATTTTCTATGTGGCTGTTCTATCCATTATCAAAAGTGTGGTTTTGAAGTCTCCAACTATTATTGTAGAACTATTTCTCCCTTTAATTCTGTCCATTTTTGCTACATCTATTTTGGTACTGTGTTGTTAGGTGCATATATGTTCATAAGTGTTTTATCTTTTCGGTGAACTGAACCTTTTGACAATATATAAGTTCTTTCATGGTCTCCTGTAACCTTTTTGATAAAGATTATTTAAAACTCCCCACATGGCAGACAGCTGCATCTAGAGGGTGGCCCTGAGGGACTGAGAGCCTGCTCCAGCCTCTCAGGGAATCTCTCTGTCCCTGAGAGTCAAGCCACTGTCTTGCCTAGAATAGGGGGGAACCTTTCATAATTAACTTCTCCCCCTCAGTGCCTGACCTTGAAACAGACCCATCACCCAGCCTGAAGCACCCCCTGAGCACAGCATCCTGTTCCCCAAGCTCTAGGTGAGCACTCCAGGCAGCAGGACTGAGCCATGCCCTGGGCTACTCTCCCTGCTTCTCCAGACTGAACCCCATGCCTGGTGTCCTTCCCTGCAAAGCAAATGTTCCTCCTGAGGGACAAGTTGGGCATGAAGACCAATCTCCCAGGGTAGAACCCAACACCTGAGGGTTCCTCCATCTGTCTGTAAACCCCAGGGGAAGAGAAAAGACTGGGGCCCTCACAGTCATTCTCATCTTCCTCTTTCCCATAAATACCCCATTCACAGAGGTAACTCTGATCCCACACACCCAGGCCTGCCCTTCCCAGGGGCTCAGGTCCACTTCATCCAGTGTCCCTGCGGGTCGCTGACTCAAACCACTGAAGATACCCAGTTTAAGTGTCATCTGGGTACCCAGGGGGCCTCCCCTGCCTTTCATGGAGACAGACATCACCTCCCATCCCACATCTGAGTAGTCACCAGCATCCTCTGTGCCCTGTTGTGCACCCCGTCTCTGTCCTGGGTCACTCTCATAATCTCTCCTGGACACAGACACAGCTGCTGCCAGTTAGAGTTGAGGATCTGCCCTTCCATAAGTCCTTCACACTCTGACCACATGAACCTGCTTGGCACAATCTGACACTCCCCGCACGAGGGCCTTATGCTCTGGGTGCTTGGATACCAAGGTCTCTTTCATTTAGACCTCAAAACAATGACAACCACAACAGCTATGACACCTTCAGTCAAGGCACATGTCTGAAGAAAGTCACTGGGAGAAACACGTGCAGCTCTGCATGTCTGAGGTTTAGGTGTGCAGGGGTGTCCTCATCCCTTTTCTCCCTCCATGGGGTCAGTGGATTCCACAGGCTACCTCAGAACACCATCTCCTTCCCCAGGATCTATGCTGGCCCCCTACATGGTAAGGTACTGGATGGTACAGATACTAGAACAACCCACCACCTGGCTACTGCTCCAGACCCCAGCCCTCTTCATATCTATAATGGGGAAAAACGTACACACCTCTGCTCATCAATCCAGTCCCCAAGTTCAATCCCAAGTTCAAAGTTGTACCCAGGATGAACTCCTTGCTGTTCTTGGTCATGCAGGTAGGTTCCAGCCTTTTGTTTTGCCTGAGATGCCCTCCTTCCCCTTCTCTATCAGCCTAACCCTACCTGTCCTCCTGCCTTAACACCAAATTCATTAGCCACTTTCTCCCCTCAGTCTTCCCTGAGCTGGCACATGGATGTGATGACCTCTCCTAGAACACCCACTACTCACTACTTGGCCTTGGATGGTTATGTCAGGTTCTTCAGGACTTAACTGTGCTCAGGCATACCACTTGTAGAATCAAGATTCCTGGAGGGACCAGCAGAAGGAGCTGTTCAGGGGAATCTCAGAGCCCCCTGGCATCTGGTCTACCACAGAGGTATCGCTAAAAGCATTTAGTGAAAAGATAAATGGGTGGATGGTTAAAAGGATAAATGAGGGATGGTGTGTGGACAGAGATGGACATATGGACACTTGAAATTTCTCCTCACAGGATTATTCCAAGAAAGGTGAGGATATCAAAAACATTTTCATATACTCCTGATAGGATTGCAGTTTAGTACAGACAACAATGTTGGCCTCGTATTGTTTAATATGCACACATGCTGACCAGTACCCCAGTCCTAAGAGCCTACCTGAGCTTTGTCCTGTCTCTACTGAATCCAGCAACCAGCCCTCAGCCTGGCATAGGGTGCTTCATAAATATGTGCTGAATGAATGAGCTCCTGGATAATACTCCACATGGGGCAAAGAGATGTGTGGGTGAGGGTATTCACTCCAGAATCGATGGTCAATATGAAAAGTGGGAAACAGCCTCAAATTCATCATTGGGGGTGTGGATAAACACATCTGGACTTCTGATTCCATCTGGCTCTGCCCCACTGCTCTGACGTCATTGGGGCGAGGAGGAGAGGAGGGAATGAAGCCTAGTCTGCCTGAACACTCTGGCTCAGGGAGGACACACAGACATTGCTCCTCCCTATGCCTACTTGCAGACACTCCTGCTTGGCTCCAGGGCCATGCAAGTTGTAACTAGATCCCCCTGGGTAGACAGAATTTGGCCTTGTATCAGAGCACACATCTTAAGGTGGATGAAATCTTGTTGGGGTAGATAAGAGAAGATCCAGGATGAGAGAGATTGAAAATTTAAGAGTGGGACATGAGTCAGCATTAAAATTATCTGTAAACACCCAAAAAATGCTTGAGATGTCTCAATAAAAACTATTTGGTGCATCAGACTTTTCCTGCTATACTTTATTCCTTGTCCACCAGAGAGTGGCAGAGCTACTCCACAGACTCGAGCCTCCCCAGGGGGCTGCTGACCTCCCTCAGCATCACCCACAGCCCAGCAGGGTCTGACCCTCACCAGCCTCACTCAGTCAATTATTCTTCTCTCTCTCTAAGCTCCCCAAACTGGACGCTGTCAGTCCCTCCATCCAGCCAGGCATCTGCCACCTGAAGGCTGGTCCCTCCCTCCACACCCTCTGTCCTTCATGGGGTGAACATCCACTCATGCTTCAGGTCTTAGCCAAAAGATCACTTCTTCAAGGATGTTCTTGGTGATCCCCAGACCGCTTGAGACTCCATTACATGCTACGGATGCACCAGACACTCCCTTCAGGGCTTTTCTCTGGATTAGAATTAACTCCTTAGTTTCATGATTTTCTCTGAGGGCCTGTCTCCCCATCACAAGGTAAACTCCATGGTCAGGGCCCTATGGGTGTCCTGTTCTCTGTGGAGTTCCCAGGGCCAATACCAGGCCCTGACACATCACAGATGCTCAGTAAATACTCATCAGATGGATGAAGGAAAACACACAGTGGAAGCCCATCACTCCCCTGCATGCTCTGTGTAGGCACAGTGATACTGCCATCAGCATGGGAGGAGGCCAGCAAGAGCCTGAAGCTGTCTCAGATATGGACCTATACCCCTTGTACAGTCAAGAGGGAGGGCAGGGGTCTTCTAACAGTGAGGAGTCAGATCCTCATTCATTCCCAGAAAATTATATCCCTCCCTATCTCTGCCTTGTGAGTGACTTCTCTTCCTGGAGGGCCTGAGCCAGCAACCTGTGTCCTTCCCCTTCTCGCAGAGACCTGACCTGGTACAAACTCTGAATTGTCAACATCAGGTGGACTTACCACCAGGAGAGGAGGGAGCCCCACCCTGACCTCAAAAGAATCAGGCGACAACTACCCACATCCATGGCCCCTGGTCAATGGGGACAGCTGGCTGTGGTCTCCTGAAGACATACCACCAGCTCAAGGCATCTTGGGGAATGAGAGGAACTTCCCATCCAGGATAGAACAGGAGAACCAGGATCTGCATTTGCTCCATCTCAGAGGGGCTGTGGGTCCCACGGGGGCCTCCCCTCTCCTAACAGAGGAACCCATTGGATCCCATGTCTGAGTCTCCAGCTCCTGGGCCCTCTGAGGAGGCCTTGAGAATATGACAGACAGAGACACAGAAGACTTGAGGTAATACCCCAGTGTTGTGATGGAGGAAACAGGACATTCTGGGATCCAGCCCCCAGGCCAGTGTCCTCTCCTGAAAGGTTCAATAGATACCCTGCCAAGCCCACCTTTTAAA